AATCTGACCCTTTTATTTTCTTTCTTTCATTATCACCACAGACCCTGGGCGATTACCGCCCCACCCATGCACTTTCCTATTGCATGTACAATTTGTGCGATTCCTCGTCTAATACCCTTAGCTATTGGGCCGCTATTCCGGCCCCTTCTTTTCTTCACAGGGACTTTTAGGCCCGTACTGTCTTTCGTATATATATGTCACATACACTGTACTGGCTAAGTTGAGGGTCGGTCTGTAGCTGTCTCAGGAGCAGTCCTTCGGTGAGGAACAATAGACGAGTTTTCATTGTACGGGTTCTTTCGAATCTTATTTGATAGGCAATTTTGCTGCCATATTCATTCAGTGTTTCGTATGCAACACGTCGCGCAAGCACTGTTGCCGCAATTCGACGTGGTTGTGTGCATGCAATACGATCATATCCAGCGTCGAGAAGATACTGCGGAACCTGTAAAGTGGGATAATACCCGACGATTATAAGCTAATGCAGCCGACGAGTCGTTTTTGTCCCTGTGCTAAAATATTATTATCAACAAATTGGACTAATTCCGCGGATAACAAAAAGAGTAGGGGTAAAGAAACTAGCGGCTTTTTTGCCTTTCTAAAGTACAATGAAACCGTTTGTTTGTGAAGAATGAGAGAATCTGTGTTAAAAAAAAAAAACGCAAAATTTCAGCTAATTAGCCAGCGAGGCTTAAAATCTGACAAAAAAGCAAACCTTAACCAAAAAATACACTCAAATTTTGAAGGCATCAAACTGTACTTATGCAAAGACGTGGCTGCCAAAACTAAATTTAACACAAAAACGCCAGAAAATATCAATCACAAACAAATATGTGAACGAAATGAAGTCGAGACCAACTTAAACAAGAAATAGAAGGCGCTGAGAGATGAAAGCTGAGGTACCACTATGCATTGTAATATGCAAAAAGAGCCATACCTGTGTACTCTTGCCGCAGCCCGTGTCACCAGCAATCAGTACAACGTTTGCCTTAAAAAAACCATCAGTGACTGCAGGAAAAATAAATAGCAACGCGCACCAGACTAGCCGGTGCGATCATGCGTTTTGTGTAATTCAGCCCATC